CTCGCAAATTTAAGTGGTTGACTGGTTGTCCTCACAAATTTATGTGGTTGTCCTCGAAAAATTACGTGATTGCTTTAGAAAAGTTACCTTGTTGTTCTCGCAAAGTTACGACGTGGTTCTCGCAATGTTACGTCGTCGTTCTCGCAGCCTTTATTTTGCAGTGTTGTGACTAAATTCTCGTCAAGTTACGACTTTATTCTCGTCGAGTTACGACTTTATTCTCGTCGAGTTACGACTTTATTCTCGTCGAGTTACGACTTTATTCTCGTCGAGTTACTACTTTATTCTCGTCGAGTTACGACTTTATTCTCGTGTGTTGTGACTAAATTCTCGTCATGTTACGACTTTATTCTTGATCTGTTCTGTTACAGCTGACGATGTTATGACTTTACTCTGGTAACATTAGGGCTTTATTTACTTAAAAACAATAACATTGTCACTGTATGACCCAAATCCTCTGTAGTCAGTAGACTGCAGGGTTGCATGCTGTGCCGCCACGCTCTTCGTAAACGTATCTAAATAAAAGGAACTTTGCATCATCGGAACCCCGTCATTGGGCTCAGAGAAACAGTATCATCTTTCGTTATCCAGGAGGTTTGCTGCTTCATTGTTACAGATAAAAAAGCCTTAATGACCTTAAACTTTCCTTCAATTGTCAGTGTTAGTATGTAGCATTAGCTTAGCTAGCATTTGGCATCGATAAACATTCCAGGTTAGCAGATTTTAAAACTTCCAGCCGACTGTTTATGTCAGTTGAGGCTGCAGGGAGGGCTGATAGTCTGCTATGGTGGTACTGCTGCTTTGGACGGTTTAGGCAAATATCAGGGATCAGCTGAAGCTATTTTAAAGCAAATAATATTAATTGAGTAGTTTATTTTTCAGAGTTGAATTGACAGAATTTTAAAATTTGTAGATTTTTGTTGTGGCCTTATTCGATTTTTTAAGCTGCTCCTCCTGTATTAGGACTGCTTAAAAGCATTCATTTGTAAAAGCTGGCAGCGATCTTCAGTGATATTGAAGCAGCTAAAAACACATGAAAGGTAACGTAATAAAAGTTTTTGATTAGGGAAGATGATTTGGATAAGAGTGCATTTCATTAAACAGATGCTTTTAACCCTTCAGTTCTTTAGTCTTCCACCAGAGCGACTGTTTTTACACTATAAATCATCCAGGCCCAGTAGAGCTGGTATTTGAGCTCATTAGTTTATTTACTCGTCCTGTAAACTCACCACATCCCTCCCATCTTTCCACCTCCCCACTCTGTCCCTGTGTGTCTGTTGCCACTGGCAGGGCAGTGTTGGTATGTGTTGTTCTCTGTGTGTGTGTGTGTGTGTGGACGTGTGCAGGACCATTAACTCTTGTTTTGCCGGAGGCAGAGAATCACGGTGCATGTGGCTTTTCTGCACGATGCAATGGAATGGGTTTCATGTTTGCCACGGTCTCTAATCCAGCATCCGCTGTGGTCCGTCTGCAGGAGGGCTGTGAAAACTCTGACCTCTTTCTCTCATGGTCTTTCTGTGCAAACTGAAGACCCGTCTTCCTGTCCAAGTCTGACCCCTGTGTCCGACTTCCAGCTTGGTCTGTTCCGTGCAGTTTTGGCTGAATTTCTTCTTTTCTCACTCGTTGGATTGTCTGTTTTTTTTTTTTTTATTCCTCTCCTGGCATCCTCCTGATCCTTTTGCAGTGGCACTGTGTGAACGGGAGGCCAGGCCCCAGTGCCTGATGGGAACTTTGTGTCTCCCCGCCGTGTCTACCTGTCCGTCTTCCTATCTCTCTGGAGTCGGTCGATGCGTGGAGATGCTAACTGCTGAAGACTGCCTGAATCCTCTTCACACTAACTCCTCCCTTTTACTGGCTAATTCTCTTTTTACAGGCTGATCATCCAGGTGGAGACCCACTGGCACAATTGGAGAAGCTGCTTTATAAATTAAGAGGATTATATCTAGAGTAACAACCGTAGGGTCCATGTTTGGAAGCTGGTTGTGAATATTTGTTGGCCATAATGAGTCTAAAAGGGTTTAACTTGGGAAGATTGTTACATGTAACTCATTAGGTGCATTAATAAAAAGCAACATCCAAATAAATTCAGCCTTTTAGAAAATAAAACATTTGCTTATAGCATTACTAAAGCCTCCTGTAACGGATTTGGACTTAACACCCAGTTTAAAACAAAAGTCCGGTCA